ATTTTAAGTATTAAACATATTTTAAAGACTAAAAATGATTTTTTTTATATCTTTGTTATATCTTGTTTATAGAACCCTTTTGCCCAAAAGAAAATGGGGAAAAATAGAATAGAATAGAATAGAAATGTGGTTATTACAGCACAAAGAGTAAAATCACATACGCTATAAATAAAGATAAAAAAGCAAAAATAAACAATAAGAAAATATTAAATGCAAAATGTACAATAAGTGTAATATAAACTCTAATTAAAATGTCCTATGTGAAGTGTTGTGCAAAAAAATGTGCAAGAGAACAACAACAACAACAAAAAAGACAATTTCAATGACAGAACAAGTTTGGTTTTTTTTTTTTTTAATGCAGCTGATTTTATGCAGTGTTCAGTTTTCTGTTCTGGAATTTAATCTAAATTTGTGCATTTTTTTATATATATATATAATACTTTATTTGCATATTTTAAAATTCATTTCCATAAAGCTGTCATATCAAAACGATCCCAGTCTTACTTTAAGTACCAAACTGGGGAACTTTCATGATGACGTTCATGACTTTAACTCGCGTCCTCTTGTAGTGTCTCCTCAGTATGTTCCCGCTCCGACCTGCAGGGGGCGCCCTCGCGCTGACGCTGTTTCCCATCAGCCTTTGCGGCATCGCGTATAAAAGCTGCGCTCGCCCGTTTCTCCACCTCAGTCCTCCGCTGTCTGCCAGGTGAATATGAGCTATTTTCTCTGCTCTAACTTCTCTGCTTCAGGGTTTAACTGTTAATATTTATCTGTAAACACACTTGTTGACTTTTTATTTGTATTTTTAGTCTGATTTATCTGATTTTTGTTTCCCTATTTTATGTGAAATGACGCAGTAGCAGCTTGCTAGCATGACGGTTAGCTTGAGCGCTAGCATTAGCATTAGCAGGCCTCCAGCACGTGTTGAATCTCCTCGTGTTGTGCTGACGTGGAGCCGGTGTTTACTCTTTTAAAAGTCGCCTCTTCACAGCTCCGTCCCGTGACTACATGATGAAATAAATGTTGGTAGGGACATCTGAGTTCATGTGAGGAAACGCCAACATCTCTGACCTCATGGGACGGAGGCTGCAGGAGCTGCTGTAGGCCCGCGCGCTGCTCAAACTCACCCTCAGCGTGTTGCATTAGTTTACTGTTTTGTGTTCATTTAGAATCAATGTAGTTCCTTTTACTGGATAAAATAGCTTTAAAATGTAACTCCTGTAATGCAGTCTGCAGCTCCTACTTTAGCTGAATCGTTGTCAATGCTTTAAAATGACTTGATTTCATGCATTATGGTTGTAATGTGAAGACTATTCTGTTAAATTGATACGGAACAGATTAAATACAGAAATTATATCTGTAACTAATTACGTTTGCTGTAGTTTAAACAAGAACATTACACATAGCCCATACAGCTTAAAACCTAATATTTCGTTATTGCATTAAGTATTTATAATTTAGGGCACATGGTGGTTCAGATAATGCAGAATCATGTGGATGAATGCTTTGCACGTGGCAACCAGTTGGGTGCAGCTCCTGATGCTGGTTGTGCTGCAGTGAAGCTCATCTTCTCAAGATTTTAATATTGTTTTAACATGTGGGTTTTTATCTGTTTGCAGGATTGTGGATGGAAGCTTTAATAGAGATGGAAGTCAACATTGAAAGGTGAGAAGCAAAGTTTTGATTTTGCAATAACAAAAGATTTCTGAAACTGAACTTAACAAAAATATGAATTCAGCATGCACATGGGTTTTCTTTTCCCCTGACTGGTTCTGGTTAGAAGTAAAATTTAGCCTCTTGTGCACAAAGTTTCTGATCTTCTAAACGAATGGTGACAAATTCTTAGCGATGGAGTTAATTCAGAATCATGTTTGGCTTTAAAGGACAATCATTAGTGTGATCATTGACTATAAAAAGTGCAGCTTAATTAAAATGACACACTCATGTGTTGCCAAAGAAATAGTTTCAGACATCTGTGGTGTGTTTATACTTACTCCAGTATGTTCCCAATAATCAGATGTAGTCATTTACATGCAACTAACATGCATTTTCTTTATTTAGGTTCACGATGTTGATCCCAACTTCTGGAAATCATCAGTTGCTTGATCGGTGAGTTTTGCTTCACTTCATTCTGTTTATCCTGAGAAGAAGTCGGTGATGATTCAATGTATAAGAGTAGTGGACAGAAGTGATTTCTGAGCAATTTTCTACTGAGACTTTTCTGTTAAAGCTCCTCTGTGCTCGTCACACAACCAGTATGGTGCTCATGAAAGTTTCTCTGCAGGTGTTGGAGAAGTCTGGAGACATGAAGAAGCTGCAGGAGGTGAAGGAGGTAAGATTTGAACGGTTTTACTTGGATGGCAGCAGATATGGGTTTATGCTTCCCTGGGGTGTTTCCAGTGGCTCATTTGGATTTCTAGCTTTGCTGAAATGTGAAATTCTTTTATAGCTGGTGTTAAACTTACTACACCAAGTTCCTGCAGATTCTTAAAATTTGAGCCACAGATAAATGTCTTGGGGAAGCATCAGTCTGCTGCCTTCACTGTTCTATCTCTGTGCTGCAGTGATGACAATTATTTGCTACTCTCGACAAGATGGATGACGAGACTTACCAACCACCATGTTAAACAATCTGAGGCGCTGAGCTCGGCGTCTACGAGCTGCAGCTGAAGATGTTTTGATCTCATTTTATTTCTTTTATCTGCAGATGCCTTCATGAGGCTCAGAATGGACTCGGACATCCAGAAAAGGTACTAATCCAGAATTAGTCACTCAGATGTTCCTGTGATAAGCTGTCAATGATGATTTTTGTTTAAAACAATGGGAATCTCTCTGAAAAAGAGTGAAAGATGACTTTATTCTGATGCAGTGCACATGATATAGAACGTTTCTGTATTTACATTTTGGACTTTTGCTAACGTCTGATATTTGACTTGCAGCTTGTCCTGATGTTGTTGGACCTCGTCTTCGTGCTTTGGACCTGGCTCCGGGTGAGTTTGTGCTTCAGATTTGACTTCTTACATCATCAAACGGGTCGGATGCAGTGATGAGTGCATAGTTCAGCTGATAACTGTGACGAAGAAAAGTGTCTTTCGCTCCTAACTGATGCTTCGACCTCCACTAGCCTGGAGGCCGATCAGGTTCTGCTGTGATTTCTAATTTTTGTTCTCGTTCTTTTCAGAAACCAGAGTCTGCAAAAGGCAGGATGAAGGTGAGTTAAAGGTCTAACGTACATATTTTATTAGTGATACCTGATACAGTGATGACTGCATAGTTCAGCAGATAAAACCGTGAAGAATGTCTATTTGTCTTTCGCTCCTAGCTGATGTATCGGCTGTAGCTGCCGTCCTGATCTGAGGCGTTTAAAGCATCATATTTAACAGAAATTCTTTTCTCCACAGATGTGAACGACCTCCTGACCGACTCTTCTCAGCTTCACTGGTGAGTGTTTTATCCCAAATGAACATGATGCAGCTCAGATTGTTCAGGTGTGATGAATTTGAATCAGGTCGCTGATCCAGTTGAGGAAATTCGTCTCAAATTCTGATCTGGATTGTTTTAAGGAAAAGAGAAGCACTGATGTATACATGAATTAACCTGGATGTTTTTTACTTTTGCAGAACCAGTGGAGTCGTGGCTCTTCATGTTACAGAAGATTTACACACAAACTGGTGAGTTTGAAAGTGACACTCTGAGCACCTCAGACCCAGACGGACTGCAAAGTTTATTTATCTAATTTGAAAAGTGATTTTTAAGCTTAAACATCACAACAAAATCTGACAGGTTTGGGGTTCATCTGGGTCTGGTGGAGCTGCCTGTGTGTTGGTGTCGTCCTGATGTCTGGCCGGTGTGATGACGTAGTGAAGACTGACTGTAAACCGTGGAGTCTTTTATTAGCTCTAGCTGACCTGGTCGCTGTAGAACCAGTCACCTTGACACTCGGTGTGCTCGTTTGACTCATGCGTTCGTCTCTGCAGGTTCTGGATGTGGAGGCCGGTTTGAAGGGCGGCGATGAGGGCGACTGAGGTGAGCAAAGACTTCAATGTTCAGAACGACGGTCGTGGGTTCAGTGATGTGTTAACAAATGTCTGACCTGAACTATAATGTGGACAAATATGTTACTGAGTGACCCGCTGACGTTGGCCTCCATCAGCCCGTCACTGACTTGTAATAAGGTTCTTCTGTTTCTGTCTGCAGGAGGAGAAATGACTTCACATCTCAAACTGGTGAGTGGAATCTTTTGTTCTAATTGAATTAAATCAGACGGACCACTCTACCTGTGATGAAAAGATTCTGCCAAATGATTCCTGTTGATTATAACCCATACCGTTCCATTTTGTCTGAGGTCATGTGGTCCAGAAATGTTAGAGTTTTGTTCTGTTGCTGGTTTGTTGTTTTTAATAACTCTTTATTCTCTTCATGCAGCTGTGAAGCTTTTGGCCACCAAGAAGGAAACAAACGACGCTTTGTTTGAACAACACATGGAAGCTGAAACTGTCATATTTACCTCATGTGTGCACCTTGTGACAATAAACGCTAAACATCTAATGACCATGTGATGTTTTTGTTATTAAAGGCATTTGGGGTGAAATGTGAATAAATAAAACCTGTTTGTTCAATCATGTCCAAATGATCTGTAATAAGAGCTGAACTACATTTGGACAGAAATCAATATCTGTTAAATAACGTTCAGTACAGACTGAGACAACAGGTTTGGCCCAGAACATGAGTGACGCTGCTGGATACTACCGGAAATGACGCAACCGTTAGTTCCTTTTCAGAAGTGAAAGCAAATATAGCAGGTGAAGGAGGGCTTGTTTAAGACACCTGGTTGTTTCTCAGGGGTGGAGACGAGCACGTTATACTGTTAAGAGTAGAAGACGGAGATGAATATTATGAAATCTACCATAAATAGAGCCTACCTGGAATAAATGTGTTTTTTAGAAAAATCCACTTTCCTAAAATACTTAAATATGGAATAGTTTCTGAAGCACATTTTTAAACTATGGCATTAAATAAAAGTTTCTTAAAATATATTTCTAAATGGCTTTTGAAGTTCCTTAAAACACTTTTTTTTTTTTTAAAGTCATGAAAATCCTGAAAAAGTCCAGAATAGAGTTTAATTATCTCCAGAAGTAAGGCAATGTGACATTATTTAAAAATAAGTTTCCTAAAATACATTTCGTATTTTTCTTTAATAAAAGTTCCCTGAGGCCCATGTGGCAATATTAAATCAAAATCCCCTTAAATAAATACAAATAAATGTGAGGCATCATTGAATAAGTATCATTTATTTTTTTTAACTATATATATTTAAAAAATTTTATTCATTAATTTATGCATTGCTTCCTTTATTTCAGGGTCTGTTTCCTAGCAATATTAATTAATGTATCTATTTAATAATGAATCAATACTTTTCCTTATTTTACATAAATTCCCCTTGCGGATTAATAGAGTATTTCTATTCTAATCCGTACTGATGACCCGGATCACGGTTTCTCCAATAGGATTAGTCGCCGCCCCTCTGAGGTCCCACCGGCCCCGCACGGCTCTTAAACCGAGCGCACCTTCTCGGCCACCATCTCCAACGTCCGGAGCTGGAAACATCCCACACGGAGCAGCAGGCCGCCGGTCACCGAGCAGCTCCAGATAAATGGGCCAGAAGAACCGACGCTCAGTCCCCGTCTCGGCCGCCTCGGATCGTCCTCCTCCCCGATGATGGTTCGCGTGCTGCTGCCGCTGCTGCTCTGCGCCGTGAGCGCGCGGGCCGACTTCTTCCAGTTCGACAGCATCTGTAACGTCTCCACGTACTATTTTAATTACATTTATTGCAACATATGGGAGGGGGAGTGTCAGCCCAACCAGGACGATGCCACACAGCAGGGTAAGAGGCAGCGCGGCCGGGTACACGGGGGGCAATTTAGCGCATTTCTGGACCTCTTATGTAACGTCCTGCACACATTTTGCATCCCACAGCAGCTGAGCTCATACTGTGACTCTGTGTTGCTGTTGCAGTTCCGACCAGGGATCTGTGGGCAGGTTTTCCTCAGGACTACATCAGCCTCCTGCATCAGTGGTACTGTAGCCTGGGTCAGTGCTGCGAGTCCGGAGACTGCAGGATCACCAACAACATCACAGGTAGCAGCCTCCAGCAGTCACTTCACATGGATTTGATTTTAAATTTACTGTCTGCTGCTGCACACATGGTGCAGGATCATGATCCCAAAGCATCTGTGCAGTGCAACAAAGAAGATTTATTGTAGTTTCACAGTTTCTCCTGCAAGTTAATCAAACATCGGTGGCTTCTGACGGCTTTAATAACAATAAAATCCAAAATAAAAGTTGCATTTGATGCTGAAACTTGCTGTAGATCAGGTCCAGCATTTAGTGAAACTCTTGTTTTGTGAAGTTCTGTTTTCTTACAATCACTAAGCAGGTTTGCAAAGAAAAGGTTGTTATTTTGTCATAAAAATGTTCAGAGCGGCTGACTTTCTTCAGCAAGCTGCAGAAAACACTTAAAACTGGAGCTTTCAGATGTTTCAGAGTTGTTTGCATTGAAGCTCCTTTGCAGACTGTGTTCTGAGGACTGTTTGTTGCTGCACATGCACAGGGTAGAAAAGTCACTCTGCTGCAAATTTAATGACATTTATCAGCTGCTGTGAACTATTTGTTGATATTGAAGTAAAATAATTGTGCATATTGTCGCAAAATATGGTTTAATAGTGACTTCAGTTGAAAAAATAAATCTGTATTTGGCTGCACAGAGTAGAAATGAAATACGTGGAAGTTTGAGATGTGATTTCTTGTGTTTTCGGAACATAAAGTGTAAAATCTACTGTATATTTTATGACTTGTGAGGGCAGTAGACCTACAGAAGCCTGTTTTTGTATTTTACGATGTATTACCTCATGCATCCCTGTGCCTGAGCTGGAGAGAGAAACTCGAAACTGGAGCTTTCAGACTTTTTCGGACCTGAGTAAAATCCAAATCGGACCAACCTCCCAGCAAATTTAACGACATTTACTGGCTGTTAATTCTGCAGAAAGAAGTATTTGTTGATATGACAGTGATTTAAGGTGGATGTTGTGACTAATTGTGGTCTGACAGTGACTCGTTAAACCTTAAAAGTCTCTGTTTGACTGTAATAACATGATCAGAGATGTTATTTTTGGTGTTAAGGGGACACAAAGGGTAAAATCTGCTCCTTACTATATAGACTGTAAGGCCAGTTGACCTTTGAGGACCTGGTTTGTGTTTTTATATATGAAGCTACATTCATGCATGTTTTAAAATGTAAGAATTTAGGACCATCTCTGTCCCGTCCACGGTGCAGGTTTGGCCAGAGACCTCCAGACGAAGCTCCACGGGCAGCACCTGGCCCAGTCTGTGGTCCTGAAAGCCATCCAGGGTTTCATCAACAACCCCGAGTCCAACAAGCCTCTGACGCTCTCCTTCCACGGCTGGTCCGGCACCGGCAAGAATTTCGTGGCCCGTATCATCGCCGATAACCTGTACAGGGACGGGGTGAAGAGCGAGTGCGTCCGGCTGTTCATCGCCCCGTTCCACTTCCCCCACGGCCGGCTGGTCGACACCTACAAGGTGAGTCTGCAGAACCCAGTTGGCTCAGAGCGTTCAGTTCTGTGCCAGGAACACGGCGGCCGAATTACGCGCAGGTTTTGTAATTTGGCATAGCGGTCATGGTTTGGACGAAATCAAACACTGATGATACAACACAGACATGATTTTTGGAACCTGGAGTTTGGCCCATCAGGACACCGGCCCACACAGTCCCATGTTTTTTGCACAATCACTGCATTAGATTTCAAAATGTTATTGACACAGTATTAGAACACAAAATACAGCCGGTTATAGTACGTACGATAACCTTTAAACCGATAACGTGGAAATCTGCACTCATGCAGTTTCTGATGTTGGTCCAATGAGGTTTCCTTTGACGTAGAATCATACAAATAACATTCAACAGATGTTCCATCAATCTGCCTCAAACTAACAGTACA